GCTACGTCTGTATTCAGAAGCTTCGTCTACGATCAGAAGCTACGTCTACATTCCTCCGGTCCGACGCTGCTGCTGTTTTTATTTACTCAGAGTGACACGACGAGTGTTTGATTTGGTCGTTGAGTGACAGAAAGTATTCTCCATCTTCACCGCTACGTTAAATAAGTCTGTTTGGTTTCGTAGTAATGGTTAGTTTTTGTGAACGAACGCGTCGAGGATCGAGTGTTTTTTGTTGTTGTGGAAACTATTTATTGTGTCGGCAGGATTCTTCTTCGTCTGATGGAACCTGGTGTGACAGAGCTTCTTAAAATCTGCTTTTTCTTTTTTAATTTTCTGTCAACATGGACTCTGTTTGTGTTTTTTTTTTTTTGTCTAAGTGTCCTTTGTGTGTCCTCGGCCTTCGAGACGCGCCGTCGTCGTCGTCGACGTTTACTGGGGAATAAAAAAAGGAAACAAAACGACCACGACTTTTGTTTTTGAATTAAACATTTAAAGATTCACCTCCTGGTTCTCATTCAGAGCCTCGAGGAGCAGCAGCCGCTCCTGAGTCCTGAGAAGTTAAATTACTGCTTTTGTGAGTCTGGTGTGTTTGAAGAAAAAAAGCGTTAAGTTACGTCGCAAAAAAATCACAAAAAAGAGACAACTAGACTCTTTGATCAGACTCCTGATTTTTAAAACTAAATAAAAACTTCAAAGAAATAATTCATAAAATGTGTTGAACTTCTACTTTATCTTAATTATATTCTTGTAAAACTGCGATTTTTGTTTTTCCGTTCTGGAAACGAGACTAAGATTAATCAACAAAGACTTCTCTATTAAATTATTTATCGAGCAGAGAAAACATTTTAAAAGATGTAAACAAGTTGAAGACTTTGGGAACTTTTAACTGACGTTTGTTTTTTATATTTAACAATCTTGTACGAGCCTTTTCTCATTACTGTAAATAAAATGAATCACAACTTAACTTTCTCTTCTTCAAAATATTAAAACCTCAATGTCAGTTATTTATATTTGGTCTCACTCAGTAGAAACGTTAGTCCAGAAGGTGGCGCTAGAGGAAACGGAGTCAAAGTAATAATAATAACGCCTCTCAAACTGAATAAATGAATCCACAAAAGCGTGAGTTTCTGTTAATGTGTATTTCAATAAATAAACAAACAAACAAACAGTAAACAACAGAAGTGAGACAACAACATGCACATGAAGAGTGTTTGTGTACAAAAAGGTCTAAAAGCGTTTTACAGTGCAGCCCGTCTACTCAGACGCCGATCGAATCTATTGATCGGCATCGATACATTCAGCTGGAGGAACTCTAAACTACCGTCAATAACACTGAAGAAGAAGAAGTGCTCTGTGGAATATTTCACCTTCGATACGACACGGAAGAAAACACTTTGATCCAGGACGGCTAATCAATAACCGATAACAGCTGACTGACTTCAGATCGATCAGATTCTCCTCAAACGTCCAGTTTCACCGTTTAAATCCTGAAAAACACGACACGACAAAATTTTCAACAAAGTCGGAGACCGATGGAAAAATTGATTTTTCTGATCGATTGCTTTCGTTTCAATAATTTGGAAATATTTAGAACTGAACAGCTGATCTAGTTTTGGATGTTAAACTAAACGAATAACTGGAGAAACAGTCTGAATCCGAAATAATAAATTAACTTATTTAATAATAAATCTAATTATTGTTTAATAATAAATCTAATTAGTATTTCTGTCCTCTGATTGTTCGTCGGTTCATTTTATTTGGTCCGTAAATTTAAAAACAAACTTTAACGGGATAAATTCTTTAATAAATCGAGAAACTTGCTGTCGATTGAATAGTTAATAAATTAATCGTTAAGTGTCTAAAATTTATTTATTTATTTTGCTGAAAGAAAAATGTCAGAATTTTATGAGAAAGTTCTAATATTTTGGATTAAAGGTTTGATTTCTGCAAAGCAAAATGTCGGATTTTATTCTAATACTTTGAGTGTTTCTGTTTTACATAAAACTCTTTTTAAATACAATTTTGTGAATTCATAACTTTGAGAAACATTTCAATTTTAACTATTTTATTTAATTCTCACTGCGATTCAGTTCTTTGTTCTTTTACGAACACATTTGATACTTTTTCTGTCTGTCGACTCGATTCATTAACGAAAGTTAAAGTCGTTAATCGAGCAAAAGAAAATGAGTTGAAGTGACTTTAAACTCTGGAAACTTGTGACGGACGTTTGTTGATATTTTGGCGTAAATATAAGAACGGTTTGTTTGTTTAAATGAACACGAAGTGAAAGAAGAAACATTGAAGTTACATAAAGTCAGATTTAAGGCTTCAGAGGGAGAAAAACTTTCCCGTTAATCGTCTTCAAGTCACTTCCAGTTTGTTTTATCGTCACTCAGCTGATTTATTTAAATACTGAAGTGGTTTTGTGTTGGAAGGCAAATAAACCGATAAAAATAAAAGGAGGCTTCATTGTTCCGGTTCGTGGTCTAACATCTGGGACCTGATCCTGAATCGGACCCGGAGACACAAACGAGACTCTTTGATCCGACGGCTCCGCATTTTTAAAATCAGCTGATTTCAGGTTTTATTCAGACTCGAGAGGAGTTTTATGGTCATTTAGCTAATAAATAATAATAATAGATAATAATTACGGAGCTGCGGAGGAGAAAAAAACTACAGAATCTACGAGATTAAAGTCGCAAATTTACAAGAAAAAAAACACTATTTTCCCGAATAAAGTCGTGAAGTTGAGCTTTCATGTTTTTCATTTTATAAACACTAAAATAATTAACATATTTTGAGAGTTAAATGTTAATGAGGTTGATTCAACCTCAAAGTGAAGCATTGTGGGTCCTTGACACAAAAAACACTTTATTACGACTTTAATCTCGTAAATTCATTCATTAAAATGTAGTTTTTATATTTGCACTAATAATAATAATGTTGCTGTACACATTAGAAACTGTTGGTGAGTTCAAAGATGTACAGAATAGTTAAATGACAGGATTTAGATGATTACTATTTCAATTATCAATAGTTTTAATTATTTGAAGTCAAGTTATCTTTTAGATATTTATTTCTTCACTTAATTCTTTTATCACATGTTATATTTGGTATCTAATTGTTGCTGGTGGTCAAATCAAACAATGACTGAAAGATGAATATAATTAGGAATATTTTATATTCATATTTTTAAAACACTATTTCGAGAGTAAAGTCACATTTTTCTAAGACAAATGCGTTTTATGTTGAGAGTAAAATTATGATTTTATTCTGAAATTTGTGAATCAGTCGCGTCAATTTTATATTTCCTTTGTTTAAGTAATTATAATAATTTAGAATGAATTAAACATTAAAGTAAATGTACCAAATAACGGCGGCTACAGGTTCTCAGATGTGCTTCTTAAAGTTCTTATTTCAGCACTTTTGTAACATTTTTCTCATAAATGAACATTAGTTTGTTTTCTCATATTTTTGACATACAAGAGACTAAATGAGACAAATATTTGTCAATACATGGATGAAAAAAGGTGAATTCAGCGACTACTTGTGTTGTAAAGGTGTCACTTCGTCTACACTTCCTGTTTCCTCTCGTACAAAAACACTTCACGAGTCCTGTCGTCGTGGATATTTAAAAAAAGAAAAGCGAACGCGTCGTTAAAGTCTCGGTGAGTAAAGCAGCAGATATTTACACGTTCTTCACTTCCTGGTTCAGAGTTCAGCCAATTGCCTTTTTTTCACACCTGAGGTCACGTGACCCCGACGACCTCGGACGAACTGAAGAAGAAGAAGAGGCACTTCCTGAATGGCTGGTTTGTTGGTCTCCTCTGAAGTTGTTCTGCTGTGGTCTCAGTGGCCTGATGATGCAGGAGGCACTTTGTAGAGATGACTGAGGGAGGCAGCGCTGCTACGTCATCAGGATATGATGTCATCACATCACGTGTTATGAGGTCATCACATGTCATTACGTCATCAGGATGGGCTTCTGCCTCACCTCCAGGATGTCTGACAGAGAGAGAGTAGACTACACTAGTTATGATGTCATCACACGTCAACAAGGAAGTCACAAGTGAGCAGCTAAGTAACGAACTAACTCATCAATTTAGTGACTAAATAACTGACTGAGAAACTAAGAAAGAAAGAGACGCAAGTAATGAACTAACGTGTTAAATAAATGAATAAACAAGAAAGTAATCGACTACTAATTAAAAAAGTAAATAAAGTAACTTACTCTGGTCAAGTGAGAAACTAACTAACCAGTTTAATTCTTAGTTTCCAGCTCTCACTAAAACAAAGACATAAAACCACGATGAAGACGAAGACGGGTTGAGTTAGACGTAAAGAGAGGAAACAAGGTGATGGTCAGCTGCCCCGCGTCGACCTCTGACCTGTGGTGATGCGGTGCAGCGGCAGCGTGACATAGGTCAGGTGTGAGTAGAGCAGGAAGTAGTCCTCGGTCCGGTTCAGCTTGAGCCACGAGCCGACCAGAGAGCGACCGGTGCCCGACAGAGAGCGGGAGCGGAGGTTAGAGGTGGTGTGAAGATCTGAGGAGGACAGAAACACGTTAGCCACAGCTAGCTGCACGTTAGCCACAGCTAGCTGCACGTTAGCCACAGCTAGCTGCACGTTAGCCACAGCTAGCTGCACGTTAGCACATTGGCTCCTTGTAGCTTTAATTCAAGTAGCAGTAGTTCAGAATATCTGAGGGCGTCTACGGTACCTTTAATTACTACCTGAGGTTTGATTTAAGTCTCATTTTAAACACAAATAACACGTTGTTAGTCAGGAGACTCCAGGAAATAATAGACAGAAAACTGTTTGAGCTGACGGAAACAAATACATATATAAGTAAATAACTATATAGGTTTGGATGTATTGCATTGTGATGATCACATGTGCATCGCTCTTCATTAACAGAGTAGGCGTCCTGTTATTGTTCTGTATTCATGTTTTTACATTCAGTGTCTGTATTTGTCCTCATATTCAGCTGCTTGATTCACTTTGTGCAATAAAGTAAAATAAAACACTGTCTCACTAAGACACCTTTCTGTCTGCATATCAAACATTATATAAATATAACAAACAAAAAAAACTACATAAATAAAAATACACACATATATACACATATATATATACGTATATATATATACATATATATACGTATATATATACACATATATATA